GGCAGGCGCGGCAACTTTTGGCATTGCCGGCACGGAAAACTTTTGGGAAGTGGCTGGAATAATTTCCCAAACATTGCCTACGAGCTTTGCAGTTGCAGGAGGGCGTTGAGTTGCCTCAAGCCGGGCCGGTGAAGACTTCTTCTTTTTGCCCTTGCTGCCAGATGATGTTGCTGGCTTTTCCTCCTGCTCCTTGGCTGCTTTCTTTGCTTCTTCCTCGATGATCAACTTCCTATCTTGGGGTCCTAACATCTTCCACAGTTCTGAGTCGATCCCCTCCGGACGCTTTGAACCTTTATAGTTACGTACAATCCGGTGACCATCCCAATGATGTCCATCTGGAATAATTTCACCTTTAGGGGTCAATTTGAGATCTGGAAATACGGGCGCTTCGGGTGCATCAGGCTCGACATCGCTGTCGGCTGGTAGAGGCGTACCTGGCTCGTATTCATACTCATCTTGTGGCGGATGCAAACTGGACTCAAGAGGCACAGCTTTGGGTGTCTTCGGAATGACCTGGTCCTCGAGGCGATCGGCTTTGGGTGCTTTCGAGTCAATCAGAGCTTTCAAAGGAAAGATGAAACCCTCGGATGGCAATTCCAACCTCTTTGTTCTTTGGATTGTCAGTGCACCCCAGTTGACATGATAATCTGCAGCTTCCAGCTTGGCAACTAAGTATTCACCCTTCCAATCATGACCTGGTTGGATGTAATACCCTAGGAAAATTCCTTCATTTGCTGTTGGGGAGAGCTTACCTGATGTGTTATCCAACCTCTTGGGGTTATTCCAGAACAACACTTTGGCACCAAATGGAATGTGCATAGCAGGGAACTCTTCACCAAACCTGAGTTGCCATGGGGATTCACTGCCGTCAAGCTGGGGGCTTGCATTGATCGCGGTCGCATGATGCTGCATGGCCAATGGCCACATCTTCAAAGGAAGTCCTGATTGCAACAAGTTGCTCCGGGCACCTTCCAACATCTGACGAACTTCGCGCTCAGCAAAAGACTTTGATGAATCTACATATTCAATGGAAGTTTGGTGTCTGTAACCCAAATCCTTGATGGCCCTGATCAATTCTGGGGAATTGTCAGTGTACACAACTTGAACATCATCCTTTGATCCAATGAAGTGATTCAAACCATCAACACAGCTTTGTGAGTCCTTGGACTGGCTAGGGTAGACATACCGATATTGGGTGTGCAGATCTTTCAACACCAATGCAACTTGCTCCCCCCTGAAACCCTCTTCTACATTTTTCTTGATGATGACATGATCCCCAATGATGTGGTCACCAAACACTTCAGTTTCGATTCTCTTCTGACCACCCTTCTTTCGTGCCTGAGGTGCCATCATCCTTGCTCGTTGGCAGGTTCTGCAAAAGGGGTTCTTGGGGAAATGCGTGTACTGATGTTGGGTACTTGCAGCTTCAGCCAACAAATCCTCAGTCTTGCGGCTTCGGATGTACTCCTGCTGAGCGTCATCCTCCACCAGCTCATCCAACTGCTCTTCATCTTGGGCTTCGTCCCGCTTGGCTTTTGAGCTCGACCGTGAGGTCGGCATTGCAAACAACTTTTTGAGGTGCTTATCCTTTTGAAATTGATCTTTGGGATAGACCTTGCAACTATCATCCAAGATTGGGACATGACCTTCGATCTTGAGCTGGACAACCTTGTCATCTGGACGGACTAGGATTGGTTTGCCATTGGCAGGCCATACAAAACTGTAACCCTGATCTACACATCTCGTTCCTACAGAGAGCACAGCTGGGGTATGATCAAGTACATACGGATGCACGGGATCTGGCAATGCGGACAACTTGACATCAGCAACCTCGTTTGCCTCGGTCGAACCATTGGCTGTGACTAAGGAAATCGGATGCTCAGCTGCACGGCAGTTCTTGGCACTAACGTCCCTTAGCATTCCTTTGGACACAAGATCGGATTCACTACCTGAGTCGACAAGCCAACTAACGCCGGCCTTTGGCGCAGCAGTGGCAATTGACGGAAAACGACCAATGTCTCTAAGAGCTTTGGGACCGCTGATGAACCTGCACTCTTTGCATGTGACGTCACGTGTGTCCTCATTCCAACAACAAAACCCACAACTCGGTGCAACATCTGAATCATGAAGTTTCACAGTTTCCTGAAGCTGTCTTGCACGAACCTGAGCCTTATGTTGTTCAACCTTTGATGAAACTGGAACATCTTCAGCTGTCTTGTACACCTTAGTGAACTCTCTTGGACGGTGCTTGACTGGGACCTGACGACCGACTGCCTTCACCTCGATCACATGTGGGGCTTTTCGGAATCTAAGACGCTTCATGCTGACACTTGCCTCATCAGAGCACGAAGTTGCCTTCGGCTGTTTTCGAACGATGCATGCAAACTTCTGGATCAGGCATGGAGCGGCTGTGGAATCCTTGCTCTTCTTCTTGGGAGCGGGTGAATTGGCCCTTTTGGTGTCTTTGGTGGCGGCAGCAGCTTTGTCATCATGCTTATAAAAACATTTGTCACCACGTCTGCACTTTCCCTGGGCATGATAGATACATGGGGTTTTGGCCATTTCTTCTTTGGACATCTTCTTCCCCTTATCATCCTTATTGCCCTTTGATGGTGAACGTGTTTTGGTTCTTCTGGGTGATTGAGTTCGAGATTTATCATCTTTGACATGCTTGAATGGACACTTCTTCCCCTTATCACAGGTACCCTTTTGGAACTTATAGCAAATCTTGCCACCTTTGCCACCTCGTTCCTGCGATCTACCGCGACTTGGAGAGCCCTTTCGGCCACCGCGACCATCGCCTTTGGCAGGTGCGGCCTTTGTGTCCTTGATCCCAGCCTTGTTCTTCTCCGCGATGCGGTTCCTGTTCTCCCTCAATCGTTCACGATCGATCAAGTTCTTCATGGATTGGTGAAGAAAACTATAAGACTTTTCATGGGATTTCTCATGAGCACGGTCAAACATCTCAATGTCATATTTCAGCAACTGACTTGGTCGGATCTGCCTCAACAAGATGTCCCTTAACACAGCATCATCAGGGGTGACAGCCATGCCAGCTAGGGTAGCATCCCATTTGTTGATGAATCTTCGGAGATCCTGGACAGTATCGCCTACTTTGACAACACCCAAAAGATCTTCTACTCTGTAAAGGCTACCTGCTTCTTCTGATGTCTTGAAGTAGTCCTCAAACATGAGCAGAACATACCTTCCCCTGACCTGGATGCCTTTTCGGGATTGCTGCTCCTTGAAATTCAAGATCCTAGTTGCGAGGTCCCCTCCGGCTGAGCGTGTGAGCGCTGCTGATAACTTTGTATCCAGCGTGAGGAACTTTCCAGGATCTTGGAGTTTCTTCTCCAACTGCTCTCTGGTGCACTCTTGATCGTACACCTCGTTGAGCCAGAGCCACGCCTCATCCGGGCGATCTGAACAGCTTTTCACTTCATCCCTGACATGATTCTTCCAAGTCCTATACGACTCCGGAGCGGGCATGCTGTTCAGCTTGATGATCTCGGCCTCCTTAGTTTTTGGCTTATCCTTTTCTTCTCTTTGGGTTAAGGCTTTCACCAATTCAATAAGATCTGAGGGACCCATCACTTGCTGTTGCTTGGTAGCGCCCTTAGGGGAATCATTTGGGGGAGTTTTGATAGCTTCAGTGGGAGTGAAAAACCCTGACTGCGTTGGCAATTGGGGCTGGTCGTTGCCGACAGCCGGCTTTTGCTTGGGACTGCCACCTTTGAGCAGCTCATCCAACTTGGCCTTTGCTTCCTGCGCCAACACTGCAGGCGTCTTCAACTCAAGAATCGGCTCATCACTGCCTCTGGCAGCCTGTGCATCGGATGCTTTGGGAGTGGCAATATTGAAGTGGGGCACGCTAGTGGTAGCGGCCGGCTCGGCATTCTGGACGGATGCTTTCGGAACGGAGGCATGCTGCGCTTTGGCAACATGCTTTAACTGCTCCTGAAGGTCATCGATTTGGTCCTGAAGGCTAAGGTTCTGAGCCGCTGCCTCGTTGATCTTGTCGGCCATCTCCTTCTTGTAGTTCTCGAATTCGGTCCTCAAACTGATGAACCTGGCCTGATCAATTGCAGCCTGATCTTCATATTGCTTCTTTGTGGCAGCTATGGCATTCTTTGCATGTTCAACTGTCTGTGCATAGGAAGCTTCGAAGTCACTAGTGATACGTTGCCTTTCCTCTGCAATTTTCTGATCATGCTTTGTATTTGCCTCTGCCTTTACATCCTCTATTCTTTTGTCATGCGATGCCTGAGCCTGATTAAACCTGACCTCCATCTCGTCGCCTCGTTTCCTCTCCTCGTTGAGGGCACTTATGGCCTTACCTTCAACCTCCTGCAGCCTTTGCTCATACTCCTGCTCTTGCATTACGAGTCTACTTGACCATTCGTTTCGAATTGAGTCAACTACTCCATGCATTATCTGAAGGTGCCTCTGTTCAGCTTCCCTCATGACTTGCAGGGTATTCCCACTAGTAATCTGGGACAGGTTGTTTTGTATGAAGGTAAAGTACGCAACAACGGGTTGGAACATTGTTTCGTCATCCATCGGCTCGGGGTTGCCCCCGGCCACATTGGGCACAGCGACAGCCGATGGACCTGACCCTGGAACGGCGAGAGGATGGTCAATTGGGGTCCCCATAGCAAAGTAGTGAGACTACGGCTGATAACCTGTATTTTACCAGGTCAACCGACAATGGGGATAAATACAACAAATCCGCTAAGCTCTCAGCTCTTTTTGAACCAACGCTACAGAGTAGATCGATGACATATATTACACATGGTTTTACTGCAGGAGTTTTTACACAACCATAATCAACCAAACATAACCAAACACAATAATCAAACTAGTTGACGAGTTCAAAAAGCTAAAACATGGGTGAAAAGTGCTTACCCTGCCAAGTTGGCTTCATTCCCAAACACCTCGGGTAGAAACGTGACAAATGAATACATTAATGGCAAATCAACGGCAGTCTTTGCTCGAGGCTC